TCATTTTTAGTATCAACGAGTTTCATTCGATAAAAAAGATTCAATAACAATAGTTTTTGTTATAAACATGCCTTAAAAGATAGATCGAGTTTTATTTAGATTTTTTTCATTTGGTTGATTTTTATGTTTTGAGGAATGTAAATAGTTTGTGGAGGATTTTATGGCGTTTTTGAGATGTTTTTATGTTAAAAAAATATTAAATTAGGTTTTTAATATCTAAAAACTTGAACACCAATTTTCAATCGCTCAAGGTGACTAAAAACATAATAATGAGTAACAGATCATCTTTCATTACATGCAACCTCTCACCTACTTAAAAAAAAGAAAGAAGAAGCAAACTTCAAAGGAAAAATAAAAACTCTTAGACCTAGGCGTGCTTGGGATTTTTTATTCAAGCTTGATCCATCAATTTTTGGCCTTTAATTATTTTTTCTATCTTTTATCCTTAATTTTTTCTATTAAATTAGCTTTTTTAAAAAATATGATTGATTTTTTATTTTTTTTAAGTTATATGATATTTTGAAGAGATTAGTTTGATTTGTATGGAATCTTTTTCCTTTATATTTTATATAAATTAGCTATATTTGTATAAAATTTTTATAAAAATAAAAATTATTTATTATTAGCAACGATAAATAGCCACTAAAATAATAATGAATGGAAACATTTAATACAAAAGAGATAGGTGATGTAAAACATTTTATGTACATTTATTTCTTATTTCTTATTTAGACTTTGAAGATTGGCTTCTCACTTTAATATTTAATTAGTGTTCATAATTCTTTTTTATTTATTAGTTCATATACTTTTTAATTTATTTTCTAAAACATAAATAGTATCTTTTCTATTCTCAATTAGAAAAAACATAAGTATTTTAAAAATTGAGTTTCATAATTTGTTTCAGTTTGCTTTCCATAAGATTATCGTGTTATCAAATAAATATCCTATCATTAGATTGATGCTTAATTTTTTTAAAGCATATTTTTTTTATTTTATAATTAAATAAAAAATAGTTTTTTTTTAAAATAAATTTATTAAAGTCGGTGGTGTTTATAACTTGTTTTGCAAGTTTCATGGGTTGAGTCAGTCAATTCAATATATTATCGTCTTAATATATTAAAAAAAAAGTTATCATATTGGATTTTTTTCAAAACTCAAATCATGTTTTTATATGTCATTTAGGTTGTCTTTACATTTGTCAAATCAAGTGTGTGACATCAAGGCAATTCCAAAATGATTTATTTTAAACTCAAGCTAAGTAAAGAGTTGAGTTAGTAGTTTTCAAGGTCGGTCTGCTATGTCAGATTTAATGGCAATGTCAAGAAGTATTATTTATGTGACCTAAATATTCTTTTTGTATGTTCAAAAAAAAATTTAGTCTAATCCGCAGTGTACCGCGGGCTATTTTTCTAGTTAAAAAATATACTAAAATGTATATGTAAAATATTGTAACAATACAAAGTAATCAAATTATTTTTTTAGTTTCATATTTAAACGTTTTGTTTTTACAATTACAACCTTTGAGGAACAAGTTATTGGACAATTTGTTATCATTTGATAAGGAAAGAACAAATTCAACAAAAAAAATATCAAAGTGTAAAACAAGGAGAAACCTTGTGTCTAATTTCAAATTCACAAGAATAAGTGATTTTTAGTTCCTATATCTTACTTTGTCTACTTTTTCATTCCTTGTAGTTTTGGGGATTGTATTTTTTTATCCAATTGTATTTTTATTTTTTTTGCTCATTTTCAATCTCTAGGTTTGAGAAAATGAAGCAAAAAATGATATATAAGAGAAAAGGTTGCTCATATTTTAACAACTAAAATAAATAATCTTGGTGTCAATAGATTTCATTAAATAAAAAGAGTTCAATAATGATGGGTTTTTTCTATAAACATACCAGAAAAAGTAGATTAGGTTTGTGTAGACTTTTTAGGGATTGTTTATTTTGTGGTTTATTGAATTTATTTTTTATGGTTTTTAGATCGTTTTGATATACTAGTGTCAAAAATAATTTTTTAAAAATAAAAAAAATATTATTTTCATGTATTTTAGAGCAAAAAATCACTTTAAAAAACAATCGCTACTACACTCATAAAAACTATTTTAATTCGGTTTTTTTTAGTGATTTTGGAATTCTCAAAATATTTATGGTGTCGAAAAAAATTATGGTGTTTTTAAATTGTTTTCAGCTACAAAAGACTTGAAATTTAAGTTTTTTGGGTCCAAAAACTTGGGCATTAATTTTCCAATCACTAGATGTTATTGAAAAACATTATAGTAGACAGCTTGTCAACCACATCTTTAAAAAACAAGAAAAGAGGACGCATTGTTCATTTCCATGAAAAAAATATAAGAAATATATAGATGTTAGGCTTTTTAATTAAAGTAGGCACCCACCTTTGTTTTTGTTTTTTTTTTCTTGATTTAAATTTAAATTATTTTAAAATTATTTAATTTAAAATATTATCAATAAACTATTTTTTTTTAATGATTATAGATTGTTCATTAGTACAATACTTTGAATTTTTTTTTTCATCCTTTAATATAAGTTGATTGGAATTGGGATTCATAATTTATCTCAATTTATTTTCTATGAGGTTATTTTAATCTCATGACTTAAGTCACAGGTTTTTCAAGTTAACCTTGATTTAATTAATTTTTTTTTTAATTTTATCCTAGGTTAACCTTGATTTAATTAAATTTTTTTTAATTTTATCCTTCAACATTGGGTTTTACTGAAGATCATGTTTCTTAGTTTATTTTGATTTGCTTTTTATGAGATTATCATTGTCTCATAACTTGGATCGTGAATTTAGTAAGTTGACTCGAGTTAATCCAATATACTGTGTCAATATTTTTAAAAAAAATTGATATGAATTATTTTTTTAGTCAAACTATATTTTTACTAATCATTCAGGTTATATTTGGACCCGTCAAGTAGATTAGTCAATCCTACATGATTTTTTATTCTAGAAAATATTTTAGAAATATTTAGAAAATATCTAAATATTTTATTTTATATTAAAGAAAAATTAATCTAATATATAAAAATATAACATAATCCGAAACAATGATCTAATAGAAACCAAAACAATGATATAATAGAAGCCATGACTTGTGTACAATTCAGTTTTGCATATGAGTTAGTGTTGATATAGTTTGTAAATGAATTAAAAAAAAATATCCCATATTTATATATAAAAAAAAAACACTCCCTCTTAAGTGTTTAAGTGTTTAAAAGTGTAGGTTTCTATTGTATGATAAAAAAAACACTCCCTCTTAAATGTTTAAAAGTGTAGGTTTCTATTGTATGATAAATTAAATAAAAGTCATGATGGATGGGATCTTTTAGTGGGTTTTCTAATATTATTATATGGATATTTATAGTATTAAAAGATAGTACTTGAGACTTGAAACTCAATATATTAATGAGATTAATTATTTTTTAAATTTATTTCTTTTAATTTTTATAATTAATTTTAATATTTGTAATTATTGGGATAAAATTGAATAAGTAACTATTCAATTTAATTCAAAATATAATTATTTTTTTAATACATATATAGTTTAATTAACGGTCATAATAGTCATAATATTTCATTGTAATGTTACATGTGTATATTACTATACAGGGAAAATATATAAAAAAAACAAATGTGTTTTCTTTCTATCTTTTTTTTTTAGAGTTCTAAAAAGCTTAATTATATCCTAAAAATATTATATATATATATATATATATAAAATAAATAAACATCTTAAAAACAATATTTTTCAAGTCTTTAAAACTATATTTGTTTGCACACCCAGTCATTTTATTGACTTTAACAGTTCGGTTATCGTGCAAGATATAAGAATTCCTTTTAATGGAACATCATCAACACGCCACCCATCAAAGTCCGGTTTACCGGCACTATTGTCCATCATCAATGATATATGGTGGCCGGTCGACTATTGTGAATAATTGGTAAAACAATGAACAACATTCAGTTTGAGGGACAGCAACCATCAGGAGTTGATCAACTTGTAGCATCGACACAAAAGAAAACACCCTATAAAACACACTTGGGCTTACGAGTGGTGCATGTGAAGTTGGAGGTACTTTTTCTGACTGTCTTTGCACACAGAAAACCGACTTTTTTTACAGAATTTTGTTACGAACCTTGGTTTTGGAAGAAATATGTTGAGGCAGGAAGAATGAGCATGTGAAGAAAATCAATTAGCAAGCACGTGATAATAGGTAGTAAGACCGGTTAGTTGTTAGCAAGCCAATTGATCCATATCATCTCAAATTTAGATTCTGCTAAAGTTGGGTGGTTCAGCAAACTCGTTGATTTTTCACTGAAGATGTTATTGACTGCCCAGTTTGATCAAAAGAAATGATTGTCAAACGGAGCTTCCTCTCATCCCAATTGTTCAAGGGTTAGCTTCAACATTGAAAGAGACTAGTGAAAATTCCATTAGTAAGATAAGTTATGGGGTACCAAATTACAACATTCTACAGAGAACGAGATGTTTTCACAATTAACATGGTGTGATGAGACATTGAAACAAAACATCAACATTTCAAAATCAGCTAAATTTCAGCACCCCCATGGCAGTCTCCATTGGCAAGTTTGGGGACAAACAAGTTGTATAAACATAACAAGCAAAAGCTTGAATCATTGGGACACAAGCAATTATAAGGGAGAAATCAAATGTGCATGCAACATCATCATTATTGATATCATTTCTCAAGCCTTGCTAGGGATCATGTTAATGCAGTTGTTCTCCAATTTCAGTTTTGGTAATGGTGGATAAACAATACAATATATGGTTAAGTATTGAAGGAGGAAAATGAATCGCTACGACCCAGAGACATAAATTAATTCAATAAATAAAGCTTTTAAATCCCATGGATCATAGAGCACAGATTTGGGTTTGACAGTTGCTTGAGACTCGAAAGGCTCAAGTATTGATGGAGGAAAATGAATCGCTACGACCCAAAGACATAAATTAATTCAATAAATAGAGCTTTTAAATCCCATTGATCACAGAGCACAGATTTTAGTTTGACAGTTGCTTGAGACTCGAAAGGCAAGCACTCCGCATCAATATTATCGAGTGACATTTAATTACAAAGTACACAACTTCAGAACATGAATTTAAGAAGGTCGAAACTCCTCATCCCTTTTCTAGAATAAAAAAATATATAGTAGCTTGGTATTACACTATCTGCCCAAGTATAATCAGTAGCAACATCAATTGAAAAAAATAAGATCCCCTGTAAACGATAAAAGAGTGATTGTAAATACTGGTAAAGCAATATAACCAATTGAACCTGACCATATTAAAGCAATCACTTGTTCTGCTTAGCGGCAACAGTCCTCTGTACAGTGGAAACACCATCCACAAATTTTGTCCGGAAAAGAACATTAGCATTGTTGAACATGCCTTCTTTCAGTGAAACCACGATAAACTACAATATACAATCCAAACGAAAGAACGTTAAGACATAAGTATGCTTAAGAATAAAGACGAACTTCAGGAAATAAATTTTGCACTATTGCTAGTTATAACTCAGACTTGATGCCCTATCATTGTTGGAATTTTTTTCATTTATCATTAAACACGGAAGAGAACCACTGGACCTGGGAGTGCGGGAAGTGAGCTTTAATCATTCTCCCTATGTTCTGTGTGTGGCTTAAATCAAGAGCCGCATCAACCTGTCAACAACCTCAAGAATCAGATCACTGGCAAATCAATCTTTAAAACTTTCTACTACAATCCAGCAAGCTTGAGGCCAACAAAAAATAAAACCATACGCATTCCATTAAATAGCTAGGCATAGAAAAATCGTGAGTTTGTTCCAATGCATGTGTGTTTTTGATGTACACAAGCATTGAGTGCCTTTCAAAGTTTCGTCAACAAAGCCACTATAAAAAGAATGTTCTCTTTCGTGTACTCCCTATTATGGAAATTAAAGTATGGAGTTATCTGGCATAATATGACATATACTTAGTAATAAATCCAACGTGCCTAAAAGGGTAAAAAAGGTTAAGGGGAATTCTCCAAGAGCCAAAAAAATAATGCAATATTTTAGTTACGTATACCTCATCTAGAATATAAAGTGGAGCTGGCTTGAAGAGAAGCAACGCCAAGATTAGAGATAGAGCAAGCAGAGAGCGTTGGCCTCCACTTAGTTCTGACAACGACTGTTTCCAGACACTTCCAAAAGCAACACGAACCTCAAGACCGTCTAGGAAACTGCAACCTTCAGGAGGTTCTAGCTTTGCCATGGTGCCCGGCAACAGAGTGGAAAAGATAGATCCAAAGTCACTGAAAAATATTGAAATTTTTAATCATGTGTATGGCCATATTTGTAAAATCCAGAATCAGAACATCCATCACAAATATTGAAAACAATTGAGCGCTGGGGTAAAATTAAAACACCACATCAGAAGCAATAAATCTTGCATTGAGGGAAAAAAAACCCTCACTTGTTTACTTTAACCCATGTAACTTTGAGAGTCTCCTTCTTCTTCTCGTCTAGCTCTTCAATCACCTTCTTGATTTTAGACTTGTCATTCTGGTAAACACAAAATTAGCACAAGTATAGAAAAGCTAAGGTACAGCAATGCTTGTATATTCAGGGTAAACAACCTCAATAATGTTTTTCTTCGACATCAAATCATTGTACTCGTCTTCTGCCTTTTCAAACATTGCCATAACTTTCTTGTTCACCCTTTTCTCAAGCCTACATAACAGTGAAAAATACAGCATAAAAAATAAAAGAAAAAAAGACAAGAAGAGAAAATCAGCTCTCTGGTCTGCAAATGATAAAAGAAAATGTGACACAGAATCAAACGGTTCAAGGTCTCAGGCTGATAAAAAAATGTTCTTGAGACACAAAAGATAACAATATTAGTAGTGATAATACTGCAGTAATAACTAGAGCAATCACAAGTTGAAAACTTTGCAAGTTACACACCCTGATTGCTCCGCTCGCAATCTCTCAAGTTCCTCCCTTGCTTTAGTGGGATCACGGGACATAAATTCATAATCAGTCCCACTTCTCCCAAATAGCTGCTTCTCAGAAGCAATCCAGGCATGCTTCTCTATCAATTTGTCCACCTTCATAGAGCAATCTTTCTGCTCCATTTCCATTCTTTTCACCTATTGCATAAATTGAGAAATGCATAAATAAAATGTCACAGTTCGGAAAGTACACAAGGAGGGCTCTAAACAAATTACCTCATTCTCCAACTTCTTCCTTTCAAGCTTTGTCTCACCAAGTTTATGTTGAAGTTTATGCTGCTCCTTGAGAATGCTACTAATTTGGGAATCACATTCCAACATCTTTAGACGGATTGAATCGAGCTCAGATTGAGCCTGATCATGATTATTGCGTGTGGAAGCAACCTGCAAGATGAAGGAAAATTGCAATAAAATGTACAGCAGACTCTGACAAATTTTCCAAATCAGATATCCAAGTTTACCTTGGCTTTTTGTTCTTCTATTTCAAAATTGAGACGGCTGATTTGTGTTCTCAAAGAATCTAATTGACTCTCCAAAGATGCATGTTCTTTCACGACTGCTTCTTGTTCCATGATAAGTCTCTCTCTTTCATTTTCATGCTCCTAATAGCAAGAAAAAGTATGCATGAGGTGTTAAAGAGCTATTAAGTAATCACCGAATTGACTGAAAAAAGACAGCATATATAGGATTCAAGTTACAGTTGCCAAAAAATGGTTTAATTTCCCTTCTTTCCTCCATCCAACCAAGTGTCCTTTCCTCAACTGTCCCAAAGTACACGTTCAACTAGATTTACCTCCACATATACTATGTGGAAAGGGACTATAAGTTAAAATTGATGAGACAAACATATGAAAGGTCAAATGGATATTGATGTCCAATAAAGGCTTAATGCATCATAAACTCCACAAGTAACTGGCATGAAGAACTACAGCATTGCTGATCAGGATTTTTGGCTATGGAAAATTAATTGCCGTGTGAGAAATAATGGAAATGCGACAATTTAAAAGGTATAAAATATGCAGAATAGCAGATTAATTCCATACAAAAAGTCCAGTAAAAGATCAGCAATATTGAAACCTACCTTGAGGTCCTTTGAAGCTGACTTCATTTGTGCTTTTGTAGCCTTAATTTGATTCTCCAAGTTTTTGAGCCTGCCTTCTCGGTTATTATCGTGCTCTTTGATTGATTTCTCAAGCTTTGACACTGTACTAACACACTCATTATACAAAATTTCCTTTTCTTTGGCTGCAAACATTGCTTCTTCAAGCTCCTGTTCAATCTTCTTTACCACTTCACCAAGCTATTTCCCCACAAAAGAAACCAACAAACAAGAACCAAAAAATGTAAGTGAACTTATGCTTGACATCTGAAGGGGACAGCATGATGACCAAAATAAACTGTTCAAGACACGCTATGAAGGAGAGAAAAAAAAAATTACAAACCTTATGGTGCTCGTTTTGCTCAGCCCTTCCCTGAAATAACGAAAGATCATACAGTTTAAGTTCTAGCTGTTTTTTAAGGTCCACAAACTTTTTATGAACTGGCAAGAGCTCTGTAATCTGCAATTTTCAGATGAGAAGCAATGTGAACCTTGAATGTCGAAACTCAGAACTGTTAAAAATGATAATGAAAGGTGTGTTATTAAATAAGGAAAATAAAGCACAAACCAGCATCTTCCATGATCACAGCACTAACTCTCAAATTTTGGCATAATAAACAAATAATAGTTGGGGAGTAGAGTTGATTTACAACATAGGAATCATATCAGAAAGCAGCTGATGGAGCAACTTGTATCAACATTTAATGAGGAAAAGTTTCCAGCAAATCCTACCATCAATTTCTAATCATCGCTTTAAGTGAGGCATATTTTATTCAACACATTGTGCATCAATATGCCAATTGATCGCTTCAAAAGGATATAAATGGTTCAAATAGACAGAAAGATTTCACGTGATGTGAAGTAAGAAAGCATTCTTCACATGTTGAACAAAGGGAATAAATATCTTTAAAAGTACAATAATTATCTTCTTCTATTCCTTTCATTTATGCATGACGAAAGGAAATGAACTCTACCTTTGCTTCAATTTCAGATAACCTTCTCTGATGTAGTAGAAGATTTGATACAGCCTCTGCCAATTCATGGAGTTGCCTTAACAGATAGCCTCCACCCCTGCGACAGAAAGAATAAGTATAACCTTGAAAGCTTCATTTAATGCAAATTTAAATAAATAATAGTTGTGGTTTGGTGGAGCAAATAATAGAAAAAAGAAAACAATTAAAATTTAGGTGAAAAATCAAAAGAAAAGGTCTTTCACATCATGTTCATCACTGTAAGGAATTTCATCTGTAAAAGTAAGCTAAAAAGCAAGGAATTTCATCTGTAAAAGTAAGCTAAAAAGCAACTTACATGCGGCTTCCGCCAGTTAAAAGACCGCTTGGCTGGAAGATGTCGCCTTCAAGAGTGACACTAGTAGTGCGGATTTCTCGACTGAAAGCAACCTAAAAAAAAAGTTTTAAGTAAAGTTTGCTCCGAGAATGATGGGGAAGAAAGATGTATCTATAACTATAAGCAAAGAAGAAACAAAGTTGCAGGAACTCTGTAATAGTGGACTATGTTTAGGATAATGGTTCTAAATGGTCAAGGTTATCACAATATACACCCCCCCCCCCCCACAAAAAAAATAAAAAAAAAAACTTCCTATCCCCAATGATTCTCACACATTCAAACAATCTAGACAAGTCCTTTAGCAAAGATGGCCATACCTCCTTTGCAGCATCCATGGTTTTGCAAACAAATGTTGAACCAAAAACATATTCCATAGCAGTCTGCAGCAAAAATCAAAAGTAGAAGGGAAACAGCACCGAAGAGACAGGAGATTCAGATAAAGGAGATTAAAAAATATGCACAAATAATTGCATAACATGGCTCTTTCACGGCATGAATAATTTGTGGATCTTCCACAATCAACATAACCAACAAACTACAAATGAGAAGCATGAAGTGGACACGCTTGATGTGATGAGCAGGCCTGGTGTGACATACCTTCAATTCCTCATCATAGCCGACCAAAGAAAGTGCCAGTTCTGCATTCTCCTTGCCAACCTGAAAATACAATGATAAAAATCAACTAAGGAGAAAAAAACAATGGCACTAAATCATGGAAAGGTAGTGAAAGCAACAACTAACCAATCTAACAGCAGCCTGCTGAATCCTAGGGTGTACAGTATGGGATTGAATTTTATTTAAGGGGATAATTGTGACTCTTCTGCGGAGATCACCATTTTGAAGAAGTTGTTTTCCAGTGCTCTCAGTGTCTACAACAACATTAAATAACTTTCCACCTGCAGTAACCTGATAATCAACTCAAGTAAGAGCGGTTACCCGCACAAATTTTTTGTGACAAAACCAATTATGTGACATATGCATTCCTGACCTCTAGGGCAGTCATTGTGGATCTATCCTTTACTTTAATAAGTTTAGCTACCACGCCTTTTACTTTTGACCTATCAAAGTTTCTCTGAGGATCCCGGTATGTGAATTGAAGATTTGATAGTTTCGCTGAAAGGTCTCGTATTTCATCTTTCAATTTCCGCACTAGTTCCAATTCAGATGCACGATCCTGAAGAAAGTTTTGATGAACAAAAGCATTTAACTATAAGGAAATGTATAGGTGCTGAAGGCGAAATGTGATCATGAGAAGCAAGCAGACCTTCTGTAAAGCTTCCATCTGGCCTTCCTTATATGGAAGAGATTCCATTGCCGATTTAGCATTTTCCACATCTTTCCTTCTAGCACTAAGCTCATTCTGTACAGCAGCAGCTTCTTCACACTTTGACATTAACTGATGTGTTTTCTCTTTCAGTTCTCTCTCACAATGGTTAATTTTTGTTTTCAATTGTTTCAATTCTGTTTCAGCATTTCCAACTGCAACCTTTGCTTCACCCAGTTGATCTTCAAGGCATTTCTCCTCATCACCACTGCTCTTCCCAGCTAGTACACCCTATCCAAAGCAACTAAAACTCTCTCAATTCTTACTTGGTTTGCTCATCAAATGCATTTGCTATCTGTTTCAAAGGAGTAAAATGAAGTAAATAAGCAAGCATGAATACTTACTTGGTATTCCTTCTCATAATTTTTCAAACTCTTGGAAAAATCTTCAACTCTCTTTTTGAGATCAGCTGCTCCTTCTTCAGACGTTTTAACAGCAGTGGCTCTCTCTTCTACAGACTGCTTCAAGTCTTCAATACTATGAACAATCTGGTAGCATCAAAATGCCAAATGTAAATGTGATATGAAAACTCCCAGGTCATTGAAAAAATCATTAAAAAACAAAAAGACAACAAGAAAACATCAACAATTACTAGAAGCAAATACACAAAGCTAGAGCACATGAAAAAAAATAAACATCCAAATTAGCAAGCATTGCCTCATCACCTTTTCAGCATTCTCCTGTTCACTCCTTAATGTATCCTCTTTGTTATTCAACACAGATAACTCTCGCACAAGATCTTGAGCTAGCACATCTACATTCTCTGATAGAGTTTTTGCTTCCCCACCCATACTGGCTTCCTTTTCAGCAGTCAGTTTTGATACTTGGGTCTCCTTTTGTTGTATTTCCACCCGCATTCGATCTGCATTATGGTCAATCTCAGCAATTTTAGCCTTCATTTGTTCCACCTCCCCAGCTGCACTGTCTCTGATTTTCTCTGCTTGAACATAATCATAAGCAACACAAAACCTTTTGAGTCGATCCAATTCAGCATTGCCATTGGCCCATTGCATATATTGCATCCTCTCCTTCCTCAACTTTTCCAGAGCTGGAAATATCTCCTGGTCAAGAAGCTTGTTAATTTCAACCACCTTGCTCTGTTTCTTCTCTAGTATTTTCAATGCAGACTCTTTCTTTGTCTCATACATTCTTGTCCCAGCAGCCTCTTCAAGCATTGATAAGATCTCTGGAGGTTTCATGTTCAAGACCTTAGTAATGCGTCCTTGCATAATGAGAAAATGTGGATTGTTAACATTCAGCTGCACTGAATGAAAAAGGTTTTGAACTTGGCTAGGCTGGGCTAGCTTTCCATTGATCAAATACTTGTTCCTTCCACCAACCACAATCTGCAAATACAAATATAAATCCGTCACATATCAAATCAAACCCATCAAAGCAAACAAGTTGAATTAAATTCAAAGAGTCATGACCATGAAATTGTCTTTTTTTCCATGAGTAGCTCGATAACCTCGTGATAACCACCAACCTTTATTTGTTGAGCATAAGATATGCAATCACCAGGTATCAGTGCCATTCTCTCGTGTCTAAAGTATATTGTTCACTTCATTAACATTATAGTTTGGTCTTTGAAGCGATCACCAAATACAGCAAAACATACTGAACCATAATTTTTCAATTAAAACAAGGTCTATGGAGGCTGACCAGCTTCACCATAAAAACCCACTTGCAAAATGTTTATTTATTTATTTTATGAGTGAGAAACTTTTATTAATCAGAATGTGTGATTGCGTGAACAAAACAAACCTTTCTCTCGCCTCTGACAAGAATAGCTATTACTTGCACAAAAATACTACATTCTCTCAAAAAATCACCAAGCCCCCATATTAGAAACCCTTAATTTATTTTTTGAAGAAAACTAACCTGTCTTGTAACAGTAATCTCAGAATGATTCTCGTACCCAAGAGGACTCCTGCTCCTGTCAGAATTATCAAACATGATTGACACTGTTGCTTTAGTGATCCCTGCTTGCCCTTGCTTGTACACTAACTCCTGCAAATTCGAAGCCCTAACTTGCTGCAGATTAGTTATACCCAAGACAAAGCAAATCGAATCCAAAATATTCGACTTGCCCGACCCGTTCAGCCCCGTGATTGCATTGAAAAAAGGGTCAAATCCTTGTACAACTGTTCTTGTTGCGTAAGATTTGAACCCCTCTAAACATATCTCCTTTACGTACATTCTTAATTTAAAGAGAAAAACCTTGGATTTGAAAAGGGAGTTTAAGCGTGTACTGTGAGTTGATGGAATTGTGGTGGTTTGGACGGTTTAGGGTTTCCGAGTTGAGAAACCCTGGAAGTCAGTTAGTTGGGATCGGAGAGTTGTGTGCAGATTTTTTTTCTTTTTTGGATGGAGGGATTCTGAATACATTTTCAAATTTAGAGCAGAAGAAGCGGGAAAATTATTTTTGTTTTTGTTATTTGTCATTTTTAATTGGGCCAGTGAACTAGGCAAGTATTTTTAATTTTTTATCAGCTAGAGTCTAGACTGGGCCATTGCTAAAATTAATGAAAAATCTTATGCAAAGAAAAAAAAAA